CAGTGCGATATGTGTATTATATAATACACTATGTGCGCATATTGAATTTTTTATTATATCATTATGAAATAAGGATAGTACAGAATGACGAGAACGCGTATAGTATGTCGTTGTCAAGCAAAAATAATACAACATAAAATTGAATAATTTAATACGCGCTTGTCGGTAATAAATATATATGGTGAAAGTGCAGCTGCGACGATTATGTTGTATGGATTCTTTTCTTAAACGAATAGGAATGATAATGAAACAAACCGTAAATAATATTACAGGTTTTTTTTTTATTATTATTATTATTCGAAGAGAACACGTGAGACTTTACGGAAGTCGACTAAACACAGTCGACGTTACTAAATATCTCTGAAATATGATAATACAAACATATTTATTCTTCTAGCCATGGCTATGTAATAAACTAATAAAAATACAGTTCAATAGATCAATAATTGGTTATATTTTTATGACAAATAATCAATTTATTTTAAGTCATAGATAAATTAATACGTTTTATTTTATTTTACAATATTTTATACAAATATTGAAATATATTGCATATACAATTAAAATTTAAAAAAAAATTTCAACCCGTGTATTTATACCACACGGATGAATGTAATTAATACGATGTTAAAGCGACCGTCAAATTATATAATTACGACGACGTAGGCGAACGGTATAGACAACCTATTCATAATAACATCACGTCCGATGGACTACAAATAAAGCTGGTATTATATCAGTTACATGTATAAAGTCAAAAGTTCAAGTTTGGTTTCCATAATTCAATAAAATCGTAATGTTTACGCGGCGTTATGAGTAGGCAACTAAGATACACGTTTTCTTGTGATCATTATTTTATTCGACGTACATTGAATTATTTACTATAATACTATGATGCGTGTAACTGTTAAATAGTAAATATTTAAAAAATATAAATCAAGTTTTTTTCAAAAAACAATTTGCGCATATAGTATTTTTTTTTATTTTTCTAATATACTCGAACATTGATTCTTTATTACTCGAAATTCGGAAACTATAAATAATCGATACATACCTACACGGAAATAAAAATACATCATTTTTTTTAACCACTAATACTTTATTATCGATTATATAAATAATTTATTAATTAATTAATTGTGAAGTTTATCACACCATTTTTGGAAACCACGCCAATAAAAATAAGTGCACTACTATACAGCTTATAGCTATGTACAACACGTAGTGCTTCGACTGCTTCGTGCATAAGGCATTATGTATGTATATTGTATATATTATACTTAGGTGCTTACTCTTCGCAAGGGGATATCGCACGTACACTAATAATTATTGCTGATCGGCAATTTTCGACGTCTGTGGTTGGCTGCTGTGGGATGTTTGCTCTTTTCAACGTACGACCCACTCGCCACCGCCACAACAGACATCATTACCATCACGTATAATATACATATTATACAGGGTAGAAATCACGCATAAAAATTATTACGCACTGGCATGAATCAAGAAAGTTGCAGACGTAAATCAAAAATGCGCCAGACGTTTTTTTTTTTCACGACTCACAATCAACGTACAATATAGCTCCGAGTATTAGTCTCGAGATTAAAACGTATAAATATTAATATTATGTGCACGAGCCAGCAGGTCAGCGGAACCGCGGATATGGAAACATTCGCCAATGCACGTGTCACATTATCTCTCTCTCTATATATATATATATATATATATATACATTGATGTATATACGGATAAATAAATTTGTTGGGAGAATTTCCGAAAATTTAACGTGGAGTGCGCACGACGTTGAAAAATTAATCGGACCACTGCCGCTGCCGCCGCCACCATCCGTCTACGCACACGACCGGAACACGCGCAGTGGGAGGAGGTATAAACGGTGCACTCGTATAATTAGAACAGCTGCGCCCCCTCCGATTAATTATCTGACGTATGCATACACAAACACACGCATGCAAAAACAAAAACGTAGTCTGAGTGTACATGAAATAGTTTTTGCCACCGTCGTAGCTAACAGAGTTGCCCGCGTCTCGTTCAACGTTGCTCACCTGCCGCAACTTTTAATTGGAATCCCTTCGCGTGTAGACTGAGCACAGCAAACACAGACCCACCCCCTATCTACAGCAGTATCACCCCCGGGGGACAAGAATATCGATGAAAGCCTACGAACGGTGTATTGTAACACAATATTACAGATCTGAATACGATAATTATTACTACTGCGATTGATAATAACTAAAAACTAAACACACGATACGAAATAACGTACTAACATTAAAATATATAAATAATACATAGTATGGTATTTAAAAAATTTCCGTATGTTGCGCGTCACCTGATGAGGTTTTTGGAAAAACAATAGGCATAAAATAATATTAAATACATACCATAACCCGTTCAGTTCATCTTGGAATTCGGCACAAAAACTATTTTTATTTTACTTTAACTATGGTTTGAAAAATAAATTATTTTGAAAAAACATCATAATCCCGTGGACTAACATAGAGAGTACGATAATGAGATTTGTTTTAAAATTGATCGATTAAATATAATTTTTAAGCCACTGATTTTAAAATCATAAAGGTTATACCAAGTGCTAAGATGAATTTAATGGGTTATACGTTTATGTACAAAATAATACTTTTTATTATTATAAATATACATGACAGAAACGCGATGCTAGACGACTATATAATATTTATTATTGTAATTAAACTTTAATTTTTATTATTCATTTCAATTGCCACTTGTTGTCTATTCGGTTTCTAATATGCGAGCAACTGAATCATTTTATACTGTGGTTGACATGGTTTTTTTATTTCACATATTGTGAATGAAACGGGCATTAAACTATACATGTGGCATGGTTAATAATTTCACTTTGCAATAGTAGAGATGCAATACACACACATTATGTTATATTAATTGCAAAAGTTGTACAAAGACATTTTTGTTATGTTATATGAGATGGATTTTCTTTGCAAGTTGTGTTTTTACAATTTTACGTACATCTACAATATTTACTATACACAAAATCATATAGTTCGTAGGGTAATTTTAAAGCAGTATTATACGTTAATATAAATGCAAATATTATATTAAAAATTCAAACCATGATTTTATTTTTTATTTTTAAATTACGTTGCATAAGTATTTCTAACTAATTATAAAAAATTTTAATTTATTGAGAAAGTCGGTGTTTTACATTAAAAACATTATTTTGGTTAAACTCATTTTCAGCTATATTTAAAATTTTAAATATACATAAGAAAAAAATAATTTATTTGCTTCACTGCAACAATATTTGTCAATATTACCTTTGCTAATTCTAAAAATTTAAATGTCTTATATCTCTTAAGATTAGTAATTATTACAAAAATAACCATTCTTTCAATTTACTCTGCAATAGGACGATAGCAATAAGGAAAAGTGCAAACTTTAAAACATTAAGTTAATATGGTTCTCAATAAATCAATATATTTTAGGCAACTACGTATTCTGTTATAATTCAAAAGCTATATTATTGAAGCTTATAAAAATGATTTACTTAAATAACACTATTCTAAATCGATATCCATTTAAAATTCTATTTAAATGTATTTATAATAATGAATATATTATTATGTATGCTGCACACATAATATGAACCATGCCCAAACTCGACATCTTTGTTGTGTGTTTCCTAGCTAATTTATTTTTTTTCTTTTCGAACATTTTTATTATTATTATAATATAATTTACATAGTATTCCATGTAAAAATAATTAATAATTCTAACTAAACTATATTTTATCGATAAAACTGCGATAAATCCGTTAAGTTTCCGAAACAAACAATATCAGATCATTTGGTATAAATTGTTTATGCAATAGTTAAAATTATTTCATGGAAATTAAATATTCACAAATATATTTATTTTATTTTTTATGTCCCTAATAGTCTGAAATTATAATTTAAATATATTTTATAAACACATAACATGATTGCATAAAAAAAATATATATAGCACAGTAAATTAAATGAAGTACATTCGACAAGGTGAAATATTTTATTTTTATTTTTACATTTACGGATAACGGTTAAGTGTAAGTTGCAATTATTATATGATGTATAGCTCCAGCCATTAATATATTGCAATGTTAATATATATATATTATAACCCCTACCCGAAAAGTTATTAACTAATGGATTGCGTTTTCCATACCTTCCCGTGTTGATCGAATCACTCAGATATAACAATCGCTAATAAAATGTTTATTGGAGAGGAAAATAATTTTGCATTTCAGTCGTTTAAATATATTCATTGATTTTTTTCGCCTTTTTAATGTGACATTAAAATGTCGTCAGTGAATGTTCATCCTCGCATAGCACGCATTTCATCATCATGTACGTTAACAAGATTCTTTTACTATAATGTCACCATGCAGAAAGCCAAGAATACGCGTTGTTGTTCGAAATAATGTTTACATAATGCATTATAATGTTATGCGCCCAATACACCAAAAATATATTTATTTAATATTAAATAGATAAAATCCTATAATTAATCATCAATTTTTATCAAGAATAGTAAATTTTTTTTTTATCAATATTAAATTATATTATTTTTAATTGTACGATTTTATGTTCAGCGTTTTTTAATCTAGGGTCGCAACCTGATAACATAATGTAAAAAACAATCTTTTATTTACATTAAAAATAAAAAAATTAGTACATAATTATAATGATATATGAATAAATATACACTTAAAATTTTCTCGTATTCTAGTTATTTGTTTCGTTAAAGGTTAATTATTAATGATATAATATATTTTGTAACCAGTAAAACAAATAAAAGCTTAAATTAGTTTTTAATATAAGAGAGGGGGAATTATGAGGTGATTGATTTTCTTTTTTACCTATTTTGAGGGTCACAACGTTTAAAAGGTTGAAAAACACTTTATTAGATACTACAACGTAAGAACGTTATTTTTTTTCTGCTATACTTACATAGATCTGTTGCGTCGGTCCATTTGGAACCAAACAACACCAGTAGGGAACACAGCCAAACCAAATTGATCGACATCATAGCTGCTATGCCATCAGACTCTTCACAACTGCCAATTCATATAATACGACCTGAAACAATAACAAAAGTAAAGATCAATGAGATTCTAATCGTCGCCTCCATAAAGTATTAAAGGTATATAGGTACACAAATCGACAATAAGAATTGTGTTTTCGTCATTGTTTTTTTTTTCGCTCATTATAATTATCTACACTGTACCCATTGCTGCTCAACCGTGAATCGGTTTTCTATATATTGATTATCCTTATATATTGTACGTATAAAGTGCCGATGACATTTGCATATACGTCTTTACTGGGCGCCCTTTATACGCGCGCTCGTTCATTGTATTATTAATAATAATATTATATGCACGCGCGCTGGTGTATGTGGTGTGTGTCTGTGCAGCAAATAATATATGTTATATTATATATATTGTAAAATTCTCTATGTGTGTTGACCAACAGGTATTAATAATGTGCATTCTCATTGTGTTATTACGACACGGAAAAAGAAAAAAAGGAAAACAAACGTTCTATATATGGAAAATTAAGGTCAATTACACTCTAGGAAAAAAAATATATACACAATACAAAAGTACTTTTTTTGTGCCGTGCACTACACCATTCTCTCTCGTTCCGTATACGTATATTATATATTTTTTCATGTTTCGAGTGTATTGTTAAAACAATAACAAGTTTCTAAGCGCTGTTCCACAACATATACCGTACCTCAGTAATATGCAAATGAACGCGGTTTAAATTTTAATAAAACTCAGCTTTTAAATACCCTTTTGTTATATTTTGTGATTTAATCCAGCTTTAAGCCTTCTTGACCGGGTATTATTGTTATTATTGTAGCAGCCAGGGGGATGTTTTGAAAGATTTAGTGTGGTCCCTATTGTGCGTATAACGTGCCTATACCATAAATGTGCATATAGGAAACGGCCATCGTCATTCGGATGGACCGGTTGAAATATTTTAATTTATTGAAAACGAGACAGCGTACCACTGTGCGGCGCCTATGAGTATGCACTATACGATTGTTCACAGATGGAATAGAATGGGTGCGAGCATTATAATATAATAAAATGTCCTACATAGTACAGAGCTATACATACATACATATATATATATATATAGGTGGCGAGGTACCTACTCGGAACACGTCTCCTAATAACACAGTTGGGACGAGAAGAGTACTTATATATATCCACGGATTTATACACACGTGTATATATATATATATTTCACTGTAATACAAAACTACTGTGTGAACCGAATCAAAATTACTTCAATATACGATCAGTCAACTAGTAGGTACTCAAACTCGGATGATGCGAATAAAGATGAAAGGCATTGGCGGTGCGGTAGGTACACAGTAATATTATAGCAATAGTACGTATCTATGGAACACGTTAGCGTTCGAAATATTTCGTTTATTATTACAAAATAGTAATAATATAACGGTACGTGCAGCAAATCAGGAATCGACAATATAACGTTTTGTTCCGAAAAACAATTTCAATTACGAGGTTAAATCCTACCTACTCGAATGAACATCGCATTTATATATAGAACACAAATATAATGCAGTGTCTATTTGCTATACACAGTAATACAGATGAGAACTTTCACCGGTGCGGAGCACGAGAATTAATATAATGCATTTAGTATAATGTTATTATACCTACACGTTATAAGATATCGTCGACTTAAATCAATCACAATGCGCACGAAATATCACCTATGGCCTCGTCGGTCATTGTTAAGATTTAAAAAAACGGTTGCTCGGTCATATTATATCATATTATATTGTGATACCGACGACGGCCGTCAATGTTGTTATTATTGGGTGTGTACGATACCTGACAGCGACGGGTCGTAATTATACGGACACAGAGAGAGTGGTAAACCAGGGTATACGTTATATTGACGAGGTGTTTCCCAATTTCAATGAAAAAGGATACCGCCCGGTCTAATTGACGGTTTACACCAATTTATCCGAAAGGGGTAAACGAAATTCGGACGTTTTCATTTATATAAAAAAAAAAAAAAATGATAATCATAATCGTGATTACAATACGAAGGAGTTACCGTGTTTACCACCTGCGGTAATTAAATTTCTTTGTTGTAATTATCCTTTATAGACGTGAACCATTTGGACGCCGCCGCCGACAGACATAGACAAGTCGCGTTGGATAATTTTCGAGATAATTGGAAAACACCTCCAACGCACGGTGTCGCGTGTGTAACGATGTACGCCCGGGGTCAATATGTTATGTTATATTTATATATTTTTAACACACGGGCATTGAAAATTTTGAAGAATTATAATTCAGAACGCATCTAACTATAAATTGGACTTTCGAATGGAAAAACGTATATAAAAAAGAAAAAAAACATTTTGTCCAAAGTTTTTTGCATTTAGATTAATCCCCCTCTTTTATTTATAAGCGAAATCAAAACATACACTGTACAAAAATACCATTGTCTCGACGAACGCGCTTTAATATCTCACGCAGAACTTATATTTCACAAGAACTTCGGACCATCGAATCATTATTCATCGGTCTCCGGAAAGACAATATAATATGATATGATATTATGTACGATGTTGGTTGTTTTAGATTTTCCCACGTTTATTCGACTGCCATTCGATGCGGGTGCATGATGGCACTCGACTATTCTGCATGATGAGGATGCGTCTATTAGGGTACAGATTTCAGTATTCATCATATTATAACCGATACATAAGTAACGATAATACGTATATTATATTGTTTAGCAGTAATTACTAAACAATAAAATATAAAGTAATGTCAATTATTTATTTTGAACACGAGAATTTTACTATTTCAAGTATTCAAAGTAACTTGTTTTTTAAAAAATTATATAGATACTATTACTTATTGAAAAATATGAAAAACAAAACTCTTTTAAAAATTAATTACAAATGTTGTTATTTTATATCCCAGTGTTTTTTTGGAAAAACAAAATCCGTCTGTGAAAACGAGTATCATATTACGTAAAAAAAAAAAAAGATTACCTCGTTAAGACACACGAGTGACGTGTGCTGCGGTGGTGCACACCGTACACGTATAATATTATACATATACGACCCGTTTCCGATCGTCAAACTTGTATCTAGAGAGGAAAGGGTGAGAGAGATAGAGCACAAGGAGTTGACGATATTTTAGTCGTAGTTTCTCGTCTCGACATCGGACCCTACTAGTAACACGGGAGTTATGAAATACGTGTATTTCTTTTTATTATTTATTATTATATTTTTTTTTTTTTTTTTTTTGTTTTACCCCTATTAATATTCGGTTCGTCTCGCTGCTGTCGACAAGACACGGCCGCATGTTTGTACCCGGATGATCTGATAAGTAAGTAGAGCAACTGCGATGACGCAGTGCGTTATTGTGGCACGCTGTGCAGCACATGCGGTGCGGATAAAAACCCTCTGAAAACTACACACGTATAGACTAACTCTAATTGCACCTCCGTACGATATTATTATCGTACTAATCTTTTACTAGCTCTATAATTAGAGCGGCGTGGTGATAATATATAATCAGATTATAATGTCGTGGGCGCGCGCGCGCGTACATTTATTACATAGGTACGCGATACGCGCCATAAAATCAGAACGATGTTGACGAAACACGCTCGGGGTGTACGAAAATAAAGTTTAGATAACACACGCATATTTAAAGAACGCCTTCTGTAAGACACGGCGCGTATAAGCCAACGGATTATAATATAAACTGTAATATAGGTATAACCGCCGCATATAGGTATACACAGGTGGTGTCTGGTAAGTTTTCTAAAACGGCATATAAATAAGTACCTATATACCTAGCTAGCTCTGAAATATCCGCTCTATATACCTATAATATATATTATGTTTTCTATTATGTGCATTATTTTTGTACATGTTCTTTACATACACTGAAAAGCATATACAAAAATACGTATAAATAATATCTAGGTGTATAAAAAAAAATTATAATCCTTGAGGGTTTTCGGGTCATGATATTATGTTATTCTTTGAGACTCCATCACATCATCGGGAATATTCACAACGCCTAACCACGGCCTACAGTACACTACATAATAATATATATTAGTGGGTACCTCTTATAAATCTACTTAACTGCACGCCACTACATCGGCTGCCATTTAAGCAGTACATATTCGATAAAAAATAAAATACCATCTATTTTCGACGGACATACACACATAGAAATAATATAAAAGCAAATACCTATATTGCCGAAACGCGAAAAAATAACCTTTTGTATACTTTACTTTGCTTTTTTACTTCCTTATATCACAATTTCCGGTCTACTAGATTCTTTTAAATCGTCTGAACGTAATAATAAAATAAAACGTTACGTGTGCACAAGATGAGTATTGATTAGGTCGATCGATGGAAACTACCGTCCGATTTGATGAAGGGAAAAAAATAAAAACATTTTTCTCGCACACGGTCCAACTTGGACGTTTCGTATACTTTAACGCCCAGATTTCGCGTCGGTGTCGGCGGCTATCGCGTGATATTGTTTTACACAAACGATGTGATAACAACAACCATGCACGACGTACCCCGTCCGAAGCATTAAGTTTTTTTCTATTTTCAAGTAAGACTACTTATCAAACATGTTTCATTTTAGCCAGACGGCAAACATGCGGCTTTGGGGTCAACAACAACGAGAAGGCGGGAGACGGGCGTTACGGCGATGAAGACCGATGCCGCAGTAAATCTACGCCTTCGTATCCTATCGATTATTTTAACGACTTGTTTTTAGTGGATGTCGTGATGCGTGCGGCGCGTACACTCGGCGGTTTGTCTTTTAGATAAAAAAAAAAAAAAAGACGAAGAAGAAGAAGAAGAAGAAAAAAAATATTACACGATGGTTTTTCGAAGGGCTGGAAAACATTATATAACCGTGGTGTAATCTCGGCGGGGAGCTCGTTCCTTCGCATGACCGGACGGTTTTAATGATTTATCCGTCTGGCCCCGCGCGCACATTCGGATATCGTGTCGATATAATATAATAATATAT